TGTTTCTCAGGACTTGGTGTTGGACCCGTCAGGAAAATAGAAGGCAACATGGATAAATTTCAGTACAAGAATATTTTAGAATAAGCCATGCTGTTCTATGCCGAGCAAAATTTACCGGTCATTCGGACTTTCCAATAGGATAATGATCCGAAACACACTGCAAAAGTAATAAAAGAATTTTTAAGGAACCAGTCAGTGACAGTTTTGGATTGGCCCCCGTACAGTCCTGATTTAAACCCAATATAAAATTTGTGGTATCAGGTGAAGAAGACAGTGGCGATAAAACGGACATCAAACATCGATCAACTTTACACAGCTTTTAGAGAAGCTTGGAAGCAAATTCCGGCGGAAGCTTGTAAAAAATTGTTCGCTTCCATGCCCAAAATATGTCGTGCTGTCATTTCTGCCATGACATGCGACCAAATATTGATACGTACCGGAAAGTTTTATAAATATGTAAGGAATATTGTGTAATTAAGATAATTTAAATAATAACAATATTTTTTTCTATTTCTTCTAAGCAAATCGAGTGTCTTTAATTAGTTGGCCAGCCATAAATACGTTAAAAAACTTTGTGTTACGTTCCCATAGTGAGCAGTGTCTAAACTACTTTTTTACCACATTGTAAGAATACAACGTCATGTATGGTTTAATAACAATGAAACTAGATTCAATACCAATTTTAGCTAATTTTAGTACCTTAAGTAAGTTTTTCGTGGTCAATTAGGGAGTGTCTTTAATTATATGACCCCCCACTGTATATTTAATAATACTAATTTTGTAGTAAATTCAGCAATACATTCTACTGCTGTTGCAGGTATGTTTGTGGGTGCTTGACTAATTTATTTCTGTTTTGTTTGTATTTACTATTTATTTTCAAACAATCTTGGTTACTCAAATCTCTTGCAATTATTGTATTGAACCAATTGACACAGAAATTTACTATGTATTTTATTTGTCATTGTTCGAAAAATCATTCGATAAAATACCTACTGTAGTTTAATATAAAAAGCTTGAGTCTGGCATCTTAACAATGCAGTCCAAGCCTTGCACCGAAACTGCATTACGCCATGTGCAAAGAATGGCAGGTGCGACCGACGGCAGCGCCCGAACAAGGTGATTTCACATGGCCGCATGATTTTCAATATGAACGAACACATGCTTGCATGAAATAAATTCTATAAATATCTTCCAATTTCTCTAGCAGCTACATCGCTATCAAACAAAACTAATTAACATAAACACAATCTTATAATATTTTTTTATTTCTACTAATAGTGGTGCTTGAAAATAAATTTCTGGGCACGTAGAGTCGAGGTTATTACATTGTGAATATCCGCAACATTCAATCTTCTAAATATTCTAAGAGAATAAACGTTGAAAGGAAAATTTTTACTTTATCAATTCTTTACATAATAAATTTCTAACCACCTACTACTTTTCTAAAAGTTTTTATATTCATTTATTATACTATCAGGATTGTTAATTTGACTTTAAATGTAGATTAGCTAATAAAATACAAGACCCTAAGACAGCCAGGCCTTATTAATTTTCTAATGGACAAAATATGGATAGTTGAGTACTATTGGTGTGTTAGCCAATTTTCAGGTATCAGCTGGCACAGGCACGTTAAAATTTTACTCACTTTACTTACAGTCTGAGGACTGATTCCTACGTATGGTGTTGAGAATATTGTAAACAATTTAAAATTAATACTGCCAGACACATTCTGGCAGCAGTTTTTATTGCCAGACACTTTTAATGTGTATGAAAGCATTGGCATTTGTTGTCACAAATGTTAATGCTTTCGAATATTAAACGCTTAAAGACTTGAAAATTAAACAAGTATTATTTTATATTTCATCCCAATTATTGTGATTGAGGAAGCTACTTCCCTCACTGAATAAAAAATAAAGTGGAACATCAAATTGCACTACGAATTTTGCTAATTGACTTTCGAATGACCTCCTACAATATTTTGCATTCTGCTGTCTGTTTAAATATTCGTTAGTAGGTAACCTAACCTAATTTAGTTACTAAAGTAGAAACCGGGTCAAATATAACTTTGAGCATTGATTCTGAAACTACCAATACAAAGCTTTGAAATTTTATTCAAGTGTTATAAATTAAAATAATAGTTACCTATCATACACATATACTTAAATTTTTGGGTTCCGCGTGAACAAGCATCCATCCGCAGCTTTACTCAAAGACTAAGTAGGTTCTGAAAAGCTTTAATTTGGTAGAGATTTATAAATCTAATATGCCGATCATCATCATCAGCCTATTAATGTTCCCACTGTGGGGACACTTCGCTATGGATGAAAAAGGGAGATTGGGCCATGACCCAACACGCGGGCCTGGTGCGGATTGGTGGGTATATGCATGCTTTATAAATTACGATACTTTTTTTAAGATGTTCTGACAAATGACTCTACCCCATCTGATGTTAAGTGACAGTGAAGTCTAGACGCGAAGATAGCTGTTACAGCTATTTTATCTGCCACACCAGCCATCCTTACCCTGCCGGCCTGCATGTTGCTTCTTGATGCCTCTTTTTAAGGAGCCGAGGTTGTAAGAGAGAGGGAGCAGCCAGAGCATTCCATTTACGGATAGTGCGACAGCGACAAAGAAATGAGTCACCGAATTTATTTGTAAACGTTGGAATAATGGCCACACTTAGAAGGTGACAACTTAGGCCTCTGAAGGAAAAGGGAAGGTGGGATAAGAAAGAATTACTCCTCAGAACACTCGCCGTGGTATAGACGAGAGAATGCGCTAAATGACGCCGCGTCACGGCGTAACTGAAGAGGCTTGAGGTGTTTAGTTACCTCATCGCCTATAATACGGATCGCGCGCCGCCATAATCTATTCAAACCATCGAAGCAAGTACTCGGCGGTGCCATCCCAAAGGTGAGAGCAATATTGCACGGGCGTGAAAAAACGCCGCACATTGTTCAGGACTCCGAGTTTGCGTGAGGCAGTTTTTCACTATAGATATAATTCTTTGGATTAAAGTCACAGCGAATTTCCATACCGAGCATGGTGATACTCCTCTTTAGCTACAGTATTGTGCCTTGAAGAGAGAGAAAAGAAAGGAATGGCGACGTTTTTGCCGTGAAAGCGCAGGCTTGGGTTTTCTTAGCATTGAACTCAACCAAGTTCTTGATAGCACATTCGGAAATATGGTCCAATGCCTGATTCTCCCGTTTCTCCTTGGTTTCCGCCTATCCAGTCGCTGCTTGTCCGGGACATCCCGCATGCACTGTACTATCGTTTGCATAGCAATGAATATTCTCAAGAGGAATTAAGTCATAGATATGCAGCAGAAAAACAGTAGGGGATAGAATGGAGCCCTGGGGAACGACGGCCATCCTTAAGGACACGAATACTACAGTCATGCAGGAAATCAGCTATCCAGAAACAGAACTGGGCCGGCAGATTGTACGCCGGAAGCTTGGAGAGAAATCTTTTGTGCCCTATCGAACAATGTCATGACTGATAGTCAACGACTCGCCCCGCTTGTCGATACCTTCACCCTAGATATGAGTCAAGTACGCTATAAGATCACTCGTAGATCGTTACGGTCTTAAACCATATTGCCGATCATTAATCAAGGAGAAATCCTCTAGGTAGCGGGTCAAAAGGTTATTAAGGACCTTTTCTAGGACTGTACATAATACTGAGGTGACTGCTATTGGCCGGTAGTTGGCCGGGTCTGAGCGACCTCTTTTTTGAGTACCGGTTGCACTTTGGCATCTCTCCAAGACTCTGGTATACGCCTCAAAGAATACGAGAATTGGTACAAGCGCGTGAGTACGGAAGACAACTCTGCTGCACATTTTTTTAGTACAATTGTTGGGATACCATCAGGCCCGCTTTCCGGACGTTGAGTTATTGCGCAAACCTCTCGCTGCCTGATTTTAATATTAGGCATCATTATGCCACTGTGAAGGAATGATGGTTGCAGTTTATTGCAATACCCATTAATAAAATTAAAAAAAAACGGTAATAGTACGCAACTAGTATTGTAAGGAATTTAAAGAAAACTAGTAAGGATTAGTAAGTTGCATTTATAATTTTACGAGTTACAAGGTAATAGGAGAAGTAAAAATGTCGTGCCTACAAATTCCATTGAAAATCACTTAGGAGCTCTTATTTAAATATTTGCATGGTTAGCTAAAAAATATCGGATGAAATTACATTTTTATTCCATGTATGATATTATATTACTTATATTTCAAATTTACAAATAACCTGTCGGAAAGTGGTTATAAAATATTCCCAATTTGATTGAGCACCCACCATTGATTCGCATAAGAAAGCTTTTATTTTCTTACAGATTACATTACAGTTTAATATGGGTAACTTAGTTTCCAAACAGGAATCATTTATTTATAGCAATTACCATAATAATCTTGACAACTAGTTTATTTTACACATTTCTTCCTAATGTTATTTTCTCGATTTGTCGATCTTTCATCAATGAGTATATATGTATATGACTATATTTATGAGTTATTTTATCGATCTGAGTGACGTGCATTTGGAGAGGCCTATGTTCAGCAGTGGACAAAGATAGGCTGTTGATGATGATGATGTTATTTTCAAGAGCAGTTAAAATTTTCAAAGTATTATAAATAAGAATTGTAAAACACTTTAAAGCATATATTTAGTTTAGAAAGATGGAAAAAATAAACTGGCCAATGAAATTCTTTCACACTTATCTGTTACTATGTTACTTCGAACGACATACTTCGAAGCGTTATAACTAAGCATTGTAGAAATTTACAAAGTGTAGATTTTCTGTTGGGAATGCTCATTCGTGTCCTAGAGGAACATTAACTTTGCAGGTGAACGTGGAGCGGCGCGTGCGCACGATTGCAGCGCGCTTATCGCCACACTCCATCGGCATGCAATATTATTTGCAAGTATAATCCGAATGTATTGACCTTATGAGTTAATTTTTTACTCCTATTTAATAATGACGTAACACTCACCTTCCCAAAAGTTTCTTTCGTACGCCTGTTTTCGATCTTTCGTTTCGTTTTCAATCACGATCGGTTTCCTGTAACAACAATAATGAAATGTTACCACTCAAATTTAGAGATTATTTTACACTTGAAACAAGTAGAAGAAAATAAGTTTACATTATAGAAATACAAGCAAGAAGTTATCTATTTATACTTGTTAAGTTCCGTGTACTAATTGACACGTTTGTTTACAGTTTGTGTTCAGGGAAATCTATAGGTGTTAATGAAATTAGAATAATTGGCATTTTAAATTCACATTAACATAAGCGTAACACCAATAGACCCATATTATTATTACTGAGAGATAAAGACAATATAGACTATTATATTATAGATAGACTCTCCTAGTACACGGAAGTAGCACGGAAAAGTTACTATCTGACTGATTCTATATTTACTGTTGATCTAAGATCGATAATGATATAATGATTAAAAAAAATAGATTCTTCTAAAACCGTATAGGAAACTTTAGAAGAATATTGTACGGTAAGTGGCACGTGATTTGCTCGTTGTGGACGCTCATAATAATGAAGTTTAGAATTACGAACACGTAGCATGTTGTAGAGCAAATGACCACAACAATACTTACAAATTATGTTGCATAATTCACGCGTGTTATTATTACAAAGCATGAGTGAGTATATGTTTAGATGTTTATAGCCTGGGCTAAAACATGAACATTTTAACATAGGAAAAGATGTACAGAAGATTTAGAATTCGAAATATAACCAAAAAAGTCTTTTTCGAGTTAGGTATGCTCTTATTTAAATCTTGTGATAGAATCCGTTGAAATATTTGACAAAATTGTATACTATTGCACTATCAAATACCAAGACATCAAGTCATTGTAAGCTACAATATAGCATAACGGTTAAGTGCGTTCGGTCAGTGATTTCTCAATGGCTCGCCTTAATGATGGGTAACCAAAAATTTACTATCTCGAGCCATCCGTGCTTCGAAAGCCATGATAAGCTGTTCATCTTAAGTCCACTATGCAGTTTCCATCTAACTAGATCCAGCATGCGGTACAGAGCTATACAAGTAAAGGAGATGGAGCAACAGGACTCTTTTACGTGTAAAGCGCTATCCCGCATGATGGATTCAGCAAGATGGATACAGGACTTTAGTCGCATCTGCACCCAACAAACAAGAGTGCGAAGACCCGGTTTACACACGGCACGCTATACCAGGTACAGGTACGCACCTGGGCGTTTTTCCCCGCCCCCCACGACAACGGTTAAATAGAGCCGAGGTCCGAGTCTCAGAGACACCCTCTAGTTGAGCCGACCCCCTCAGGTTCGAGTGGTCTAGAGGCTCCAGACGGAGAGGAGACTCCCCCGTAGGGAGATGCCATCCGCCTGGAATACCTCTAGAGGCACTCGCCAATTCTCGGCTTTAGGTCCCCTTACGATCTCGCCGTTCCCAAACCCGGTGAAGCTGTAAAGGTCATCTGCGACCAACAGCTACCACATTCGAAAAAAAAGCACCCACCAAATGACATTGGGCCCACTTGGTGGAGGATCATAGCCCATTTGCTCGTGAACGAGTGCCGCCAGCGGAGACGAGTCTGCCCTAACTTCCTTAATATTGAAATTAATGTTTAGTCACACTTTATATAAATAACACTATTTGTATTTATACTGTATGACACAGCAATCAAAATGCAGGTAAACAATTAATGTATATTTAATCATTATGTAATGAAAGGTGACTTCATGAATCATCTCTGAAGTCATTTTTCAATTTGACGACTCTGTAAATAATAAAACAGGGAGAAAAAAACAGCCCTTGCTGAGTTTCTTGCCAGTTCTTCTCAGTACAAGGTCTCCCGCCGTAGATTTACGGACCGATGGCGTAGCTTCTAGACATTCATGAGTTCTTGTAACAGCCTAAACTGAATCAATGATTTTGATTATTGATTATTTTCCCTGTTCGCATCAATAAGAAAGGACTGACAGCCGACTGTAGGATCAACATAATAGGCTAATAATATCTATTGAAATCATCATTAATTATGAAATCATCATAATTAATGATGATTTCAATTTCAAATAAAATATACATATTCTAAATGATGCGTGATTATATCGCCCTAAATTAAATTATTAGAAGTAGAAAGATGACAAACGCTCCGTATCATTTTCTTGAAATGGTTAAAAAAGTAAATTATAAACGAAGTGATCGCTATTGTAACTATTCCTTTTTGCTTAAAAGTCGGCGTTAAATCGTGTAAACGTCAGTAGAGCGCGCTATGCCTGCAACCGGTGATTTATCGCAATTTAGTTTAAGGCTCTGGCACACCGTAAGCATACGCTCGTTATGCATAGGTCCCGGTTGAAACAACACAAGTATCAGAACAATAACCATTCGTGAAATAAAATGAGACAGAACTAAGGCAGCACGGTCTATTTTGCTTCTATATTAATGGCTGACTATCTATAGATGGACTTGAATCATTTTATTAGCCTTTTAAAACGATAATTAAGTCAAGCAGTCAGTAACATTTTTAAATTGCATAAAAAAGGAAAGACACTGATACTTATTACAAAATCTTTTTTTTAATGAGCTGTATACAGTCTTTCTTTTCCACGATCCACACAAATTAGCATGCCTTAAATGCGATGCTATCTAAAGTGAATATTACTATGTGCATATTTAGGGTGCAATAGCCTTTAGTGGTTAAGTGACCAATTTCTATAATAACGACAATTAGTGGCGGTTGGTGCTTCTCCACAATCCTCTAACTCCTCCCGTCTTATATCGGTTAACTATTTAGAAATAACCGTTATCAATGCATAGCTAAGCAAATTGTAAAACAAAAGATGTATAATAATCCTATTTCCGTCATATATATGTTTGCTTCATGTCTACTGCTATCAATAACGTTTTTTTTTAAATATTTTCTTATCTGGTGACTTCAAGATAATTTGAAAATATAGTCCCCAAAAATATCTAAGCAACATGTAAAGATTTTCACTTTTATAATATATTTAAACTATACTATTGTAAACACAATCGAAAAGTTTCTATTTTAAAAATAACAGCCAATTATGTGTCTGAGAGCAAAAAAGAGTGCATACCAATCTATTTTCTAAGAAAATAAAAATCAATACTTAATAAAACATACAGTTTCTGTAAATGATGCATGTTGCTAAGACTTTTCGATGTGTGTAAATCGGCATGATTACAACTTCATCATCGCAAACGGTGTTTCAGGTTTAATAACCCACAGTTGTATATAATTATTACATTACATCACACATGCGTACTTAAATTAAAATTAACATGGCTTATAACCACACACGCGTTAACTCCAAATCACAGTTACGTTAATATATTAACATGGAGACAGTTATTTGTTACATTTAACTGCACCAGCTACCTTAATAATGAAGAGCAATTAATGTGTGCATCTTAACAATTATGTACAGCTTTATCTCCTGTTGTATATTGTGATCTTTTTGGAGCATAAACTATCCTGTTGATGCGACGGCGCATATCATCCGTTTGACATTTCGAATGCTGTCGCATTTTATGTAAATTTAAGCTGAAAAATTTAGTGCCACAAAAATTCATACACACACCGAATGAAAGCAAGTTGACATATAGGTAAGACTAAATCACTACTCTCAGGTCCGGATTTAAGGCAGGGCAGGCAGGACAGAGATGCCCACAACAGAAATAAAAAATAATTAAATTTCGACAGGTAACCAAAAAAATAGGAGCAACTACATCTCTAAATCGGCCTTGACTTCTCTTTACATAAATTTTAAATTCGACTTTAAGGTAACACTTGGTAAGAGAAAACGCAGTGTTATTTAAATGTTATATTAACTGCATTATAAAATTCATCAAGTACAGATAAGTTTTTGGTAAGCATCCATTTAAAATCCACCAATCCATACAAACCGATATTATGAAATACAATAAATTAATGTATAACTAACTAAATATACTAATAAAATATTATAATCTCATAAACCCTAAATAATAATTTAGCGAAATAGGTAAATATGTTTTTCAAACTAAATTTAAATTCATCTATGCAGAAACTCATCTGCATTACCAGTAAAAACAAACTCTGCTATATTCACTTTGGAATTGTAACCTTACCAAAACATTGCGTGATCCATGACAGTGTTAAAGAATCATAGCGTCTCTATGAAGTCGACCTCACAAGATCATCTATCAGATAGAGTGCAAGATCTTAGTTGAGAAGAAGATATTAAGTCAGTTAAGAACCCATATTTAAGGCGTTCTCCAAATATAAACATTAAGCCCTTTACATTACACGTCTTGCTTTTGTATTGAACTTTAAACATCTATCTTTAGATACAGATGCAGCTAGCATTCGCACGATAATGAGATGAATTCTGAATCTACTTTTCGTAAATCTTCAAATATTGCGAAAGAAACAGCTTTTTTAATTTGCAATACTTAGCCTAACGTCATATTGTTTTGCAGATTGGCGAAGCATTAAACTGCGCCAGAGTAAAACTGCCAGAATTTTTGTGTTAGTCCCACTGAGCTTTGTCACACACAAAAAAATCTTATTATGTCCTATTTTGTATAATATCAATTCAGCCGCTGAAGATAATTCTATATAATTTGGGCTCTCCCTCACAATAATAAACTTAACATATAGACCAGATTTCAGATATGTTGATTAAAATCGACCAAAATACAAAATCGATAGAATTTATTAATTTTTGCAACACAAAAATATATACGATTGTCTTTAATTTAAATGTCAGGGTCCGCCGACCAATGAGAATGGTGCCTACATTGTGAATGTCAACCGAGTGCAGATGCCCGAATGCAAAACAATTCAATTACATGTTTTTAAACAGAACGGTAAAAGACTTGTAATATTAAATATCTAATCTAATTTAGGTATTTAATTTTTCATTCTCTAATTGGAGAAAGTTTTTTTGGAGAAATGTTATTCAAGAATACATTATTTAATTTCGAACATTTTTAATGTTATACTATAAGTAGGTACTGGATACATTAACTTGTGAACTTCGAGAAATAG